TCCTTTACATTGTTTTATTCATATACATTGTGTTTTATACAATCTTTCATTAACATTGTGTTTCATACATTCATATACATTCTATTTTACATTAATTGGTTTGCTTACAAAGTTTATATACACTGTGTATATACACTATTCTTCATTTAATGCATTGTGTTTTATAAAATTAATCACTAGTAGACCATTCTCATCATTACCCTGTCTTTTTGCCCAGACCCTTACCATTTGCTTCCCTCGACTACCTCCACCCACCAAACTGTGCAGCCCTGTGGTTTCACCTCTACCTATCCTCATTCCTCTGCTCCACTTCACTCACCTTGAGTTCTTATACTTGTTTTACTAGTTATTCTTCTATTTTTACAATAATGGTCTTATGCAGTATTTGTATTTGAGACTGCATTAATTCACTCAGAATAATGCTCTCTAGCCTCTCCCAAGTTATGTAGTGTTTTTCAAAATTGTTGCTCCTAAGTGTTGCGTAGCATTCCATTGTATGAATGTAGCACAATTTATCAATCCATTTGGCTGTGGTTGGACATTTCGGCTGTTTCCATGTTCTTGGGATGGTAAATAATGTTGTTATGAACATTGGATATCACCTCAATGACTAAGGTGTGCCTGACTTAAGCTACAGTGTTGTACTTTCCCTCAAATGCATGTGAAAACTGGACAATTAATAAGGAAGAATAAAGAATTGCTGTCTTGAAGTCATGGTGCTGGAAAAAAATTTTGAATATATCATGGAATACCAAATGAACAAATACATCTAGGAGGAAGTACAGTCAAATGTTCCTTAGCAGTGAGGATGGTAAAACTATATCTTACATGCTTTGGACATGTTATCAGATGGAACCATTCCCTGGAGCACATGACTCTTGGTAAAGGGTTATCAAAAAAGAAGACCCTCAAAGATACGGATGGATGGATGGATGGATGGATGGATGGATGGATGGATATGGTAGCAGTAACAATGGACTAAAAACGTGGCAAAGATTGTGAGGATGGCACAGCTTCTGGCAGTGTTTTGTTCTGTTGTATATGTATTTGCCACTGTTATTGCTGTTATGTGCAGCCACATTGGAACCAAGTCATATCTGACCCTACAGAAAATTTCCAGAAGGTATAAATTGAACTAGATATTGCCCCTCTTCCTCCCATGGAGTAGTTAGTGGTTTCAAACCATGTGCCTTTGAGTTGTAAGCAAAATTTCTTACTACTAAGTCACCAGAAGATCACTATAAATTGGAACCAACTCAATAGTACTTAACAACAATTAGATTCAAGTGGTGCAGTTATTAAGTGCTTGGAGTCTTACAGGAAGGTTAGTGTTTCAAACCCACAAGCTGCTCTGAGACAGAAATATGTGGCTTTCTACTCCTGTAAATGTTACAGTCATACCATATGTACAAGATCCAATGGTGAAGAAGGATTAAGTTCACACTTCACTGAAGGCATTGACAAAAAAATAAGGCTCCAGGAATCAATGGAATACCAATTGACATGTTTCAACTAACAGATGCATCATCCCTTGATGTGCTTACCAGTTTATACCAGGAAATTTGGAGAACAGCTAACTGCTGACTGACTTGAAGAGATGCACATTTCTCCCCATTCCCAAGAAAGGTGATCCCTGAGAATTTGGAAATTATCAAACAATATCATTAATGTCTCATGCAAACAAAATATTATTAAAGATCATTTAAAAACGGCTTCCATAGTTCATTGACAATTTATAGACCCAAAATTCAAGCTGGTTTTAGAAGGTGACGTGGCACCTGGGATATCTTTGCTGATGTCAGATGGATATGGGCTCAACGCAGAGAATACCAGAAGAACGTCTATTTTGACTATGCAAAGGTATGTGATTGTGTGGATCATAACAAGTTATAGCTAACATTGAGAAAAATGGGAATTTTAGAACTCTTAGTTGTCCTCATAAGGAAGCTGTACCTAGACCAGGAACTGTACCTAGATCAAGAAACTGTTGTCTAAATTGAGCAAGGAAACACTGCATGGTTTAAAATCAGGAAGTTTATGTGTCAGGATTATATCCTTTCTCCATACGCATTCAATCTGTATGCTGTGCAAGTAACTTTCAAAGCCAGACTGTGAAGAAGAATGTGGTGTCAGAATTGGAGCAAGACTCACAAGACTCATCAAAAACTTATTCAGATGACACAACTTTGCTTGCTGAAAGTGAAGAGGCTATGAAATGCTCACTGCAGAAGATCAAGGACTACAGCCTTCAGCATGGATTACATCTCAACATCAAGAAAACAAAGGTTTTCACCACAGGACCAACAGCTAACAGTATGCTAGATAGAGAAAGGATTGAAGCTGTCAATTTCATCTTGCTTGGATCTACAATCAACATAGTTGGTACCACCAGCCAAGAAATCAGGAGATACACTGCATTGGACAAGTCTGCTGTCAAGGAACTCTTCAAAGGACTGACAAACAATAATGTCAGTTTGAAGATTAAAGGTGCACTGGACTCAGGCCATAGTCTTTTCAATCACCTGCTATGCATCAGAGATCTGGACAATGAATAAAGATGACAGAAGAATTATTGATGCTTTTGAGCTGTGGAGAGTACTGAATATCCTATGGACTACAAAAAGAACAAATGTATCTTGGAAAAAATGCAGCCAGAGTGCTCCTTAGAGGAAAAGCTTTGTCTCACATTTTTTGGATACGTAGCTAGATGAGGCTTTTCCTTGGAAAGGGACATCATGCTTGGGAAGATGGAGGTACAGTGAATAAGAGGAAAACCTCCAATGAGATGGATTGATACAGTGACTTCAACAATGAGCTCTGGTGTGTCAGAGGATGAGGATGGAAAAGGATAGTCAGGGTTCAAGTTAGCTTTTCATAGGATCCCTATGAGTTGTACTGACTCGACTGTACCTAACAAGTAGTTGTACTGTCAACCCAAAGGTGGCACCTCTCTGGCAGTTCAAATACACCATTGACTCTGAAGAAGATGGGAAATCCCTGTGTAATTTTCAGCCTCTGAAATCTGCTGGAAGGTCAGCTATAAATTGGTTCCTACTTGATATTAATGAATTTGAGTTTGACAGGATCACTATGAATTCAACCTGGCCATCAGATAATTTTTGTTTTGTTTATACTGGTTATATTAAATGGCACAAGGGAACTCTGGAGGTTCAGGAGTTAAGGAATTGTGCTGTCAACCTTAGGGCAGATGGCTTGAATCTACTAGCTGCTGTGTGGGAGAATAAGCAATCTCCTCTAGTGTCACTTACAGCCTCTGACAAACTGCTAGAGGGCCAGTTTTGAATTAGTTCTGATTCTATTGCTGTTGTTAGGTGTCCAGCATGACTCATAGTAACCCTATGGACAACAATACTAAATCCTACCCTATCCTGTGCCATCCTCACAGTCTCAGACACACTCAAGTCAATTGCTGCAGCCACTGTGCCAATGTAGTATTTGCCATTATGCTGTGGTTATGTGTCATCAACTATGACTCACAGTGACCCTATGCACAATAGCTCTGAGCCTTGTTCAATCTTGAGCCAATCTGTTTCTGACACACCTATCATCATTACTCCAGTTACTGTGTCAATCCATCTCCTCTGGGGTCTTCCTCTCCTGCACTGTCCCTCCACCCTTTCAAATGTGATATCCTCCAAAGACTGGTCCCTCCTGGCAACAAACCCAAAGTATGTGAGACAGAGCTTCAAAATCTTTGCCTCCCAGGAAATGCTCGGTTTCATCCTCTCCTAGACTGTTAGTTCTCTTAGCAGTATGTTCGACACTCTTCTCCAGCACCACAACTCATAACTTCTGTCATTGTCCAGGTCTCTGATGCATAGCAAGTAATTGCAAAGACAATGATCTGGATCAAGTGCACCTTAGTCTCTAGATTGACATTGTTGCTTTTCAGCACTTTGGAGAGGTCCCTGATAGCAGATTTTCTAATGCAAATCGTCTTTTGATTTCTTGACTGCTGGTGCCAAGTGTAGAGGTGGAACCCTAGCAAGCTGAAATTGTTAACAATCTCAATCTCTTCTCCACCTATCATGATAATGCCAACTGGCCTACTGGTGAGAATCTCTACTTCACTCAGCATAATGCTCCCTAGTCTCTCCCATGTCCTCTCCGTTCTGCCTCTTTCAGCACTGGTGCTCGGTGCAGCTGCAGCACCATCTGAGCGGCTCAGAGACCCCGTGCAGGGCGCCTTGGCAGCCAGCCAGCCAGTGTGCCATTTGCGAGGACGTCTTGTTGTGTACTGTCCAGTCCGAAGAGTCAGCAGGTTTTCAGAGGCAGTAAATCATAAGGAAGTAAAGGGCCTAGCCTTCTCCCGCAGGGCAGTTGGTGGACTCGAGGCACATGCGTTTGGGGAGGGGGGCACATAGCGCTTCATTACGAGGTCAGGAAGATTATTTTGTCGGGCTGCTGCTTCAGCGACCGGAAAAGGCGAGGCGACCGGACAGTGTCCCGTTACAACAACCCCACCCTTAAACACCCCCCTCCCCCATACCCCCGCCACACCCCCGCGACCGCGCTCGCCATCAGAACATTTTGTAGGCTGGGAGTAGTGGAGTGGTGTAGCGTGCCATCGAGTCACGTCCTTTCTCGCCTAGGGCGGGGCAGGGCAGCGTGTCCTTTAAGCCTTCCCTGGCTCCGCGCGCGCCATCAGGTAGCCTGGATCGGCCGGGGGAGCGCTGAGAAGCGTGGCGCTGCTTACGTCCTCTGTGGCCGTGCACGTCGTCCAGGAGCCTACGTAGGTCATGCCGAGGGGGAGGCGCTGCACGTCTTGTTACGTTCTCCCTCACTGTGTGTGCCGCAAAGAAGTCTGGGTAGGCGGTGTAGTGCAAGGTGATGTCGCCTTAGGTTCTCTGTGCCGCATACACTTTCTCAATGTCTGGGTAGTCCCGGCAGGGGTGTGGCGAGGTGGGGTAAGGCCTAGGTTTGGCCTCGTGGTCAGTACAGCCGGAGTTGGAAGAGTTTTCCTTGCGGTGACAGACAGCATGAGCGAGGTGGATGGGCTGCGGCGGAGGCGGCCCCTGCGGCCGCTCATTGTCACAGACGATGTCCAAGTCCCCGAGGCCAAGCACGGCAGGTAAACCAGGCCATCAGCCGGACCGAGGCGGGGCCCACAGCTCTGGTTAACAAGAACAAAGCCACAACTGTTAAGGGGTAAACGGGGCCCAGGGCATTGCATGCTTGTCTCTTTTACTCTCCACAGGGAAATCCATTTTCCAGAGGAGGATGGTACCCTGCTGCCAGCTGTACAGGCTTGCCCTCCACTTTGCCCACACAGTCCCACCTCGCACCACTTTGCTCACCTTCCTGCCCTAGAATCTCCTCTTTCGTCCTCCCGAACCCTCAGTGCCCCTGGGAGCTTCTACGCAGCCTCGTCTGGCCCACACTGCCCTGCCCGCAGTGCTGAGCCAAGGCTGGAGCCGACTCGCTAATTTGGAGGAGCGTTCGTCCACCTGGCCCACCACCTTGTGCATAGTGCGGGTTCGGAGGAGCGCTGGCGCCCAGCTCTGGCTTCTTGCCACCCTGCCAGTACACCACCCACTCTTACCGTCCACACAGATCGCTCTTTTTAGCAGATTTTAGGTTTGGTGAGAGTCCAGCCTTGGAGGTTTTTCTTGTAGAACTGGAGAAGCAAGGAAAACTGAAGTTGTAAGGTCGCCTAGGAAACACAACCCAGTTCAGGCCAAGAAAGACAGTGTATTGAGAAGAAACTGCCGGGCTGGCTCTAAAGGAGAAACCAGCACCCTCTTAAATGTTAGTGGGGTTTTATATTGTCTAAACAAGAAATTGAAAGTTGCGATATTTGTAGCTGTAGAAGATAAGGGAACAGGCTGGGGGTTGTGGATAGTTATTCTTGGAAAAGGGAGGTGAAATAACAGAGCTCTAACATAAACAGAGTTGCAACTGCTGCTTTGATCAGTACTGTGGCTTTTCTGGGGAAAAGGAGAGAGCAGCTCCTTGGCTTTGACATAAGTCTAAGTGATCACATGTTTTTTCTTATTGTTCCCATTCTGCAGAACTTAATGATGGGAGTTCATGTGGCATAGGGAGTCCTTAGGGAGTTTCAGTCCACCTACAACTCTGCTCCAATTTACAGTCTCCAAAAACCCGATGGGGGCTCAGCTATGAGTCAGTTCTGACTCACTACAGTGAGTTTGAGGTTTTGATTCGGTGTTTTGTTAAGAACAAGAGCGTAAACATTGACATATTGTTAGGTGCTATTGAGTCGCTTCCCACATAATTATAGCAGCCCTGTGAACAACAAATCTGAACCTTGCACCATCCTGCATCATCATCAACATCTTCAATATGCACAATTCTATTGTACAGTCACAGTACAATCCATCTTGCTGAGAGTCTTCCTCTCTTTCTCTGACTCTGCATCTTTCCCAACCTGATAGTTTTTCCCAAGGACTTAAGCCTCCTGTCAACATGCCCAAACTATATGAGCACCATCCTTGCTTGTAAGGCACTGATTGCACATCCTCCAAGACAGACTTGTTTATTCTTTTAGGTGACCATGCGGTAATCTCTTCTCCAACACCACAACTCACAGGCATCAATCTTTCTGTCATCCTTAATTATTGTCCATTTTCAGATGCCTTGTTGTTATGTACCCTCAAGTCACCTGCAACTCATAGCAACCCTATGTACAGCAGCTCTGAAACCTGCCCGGTCCTGAGCCAGTCTCACTGATTCTGACACACCGACCCCCCATTGCTCCAGTTACTGTATCAATCCATCTTATCCAGGGTCTTCCTCTCCTGCACTGCCCTGCCCCTCCACCCTTCCAAGCATGGTGTCCCTCCTGGCCGCAAGCCCAAAGTACGTGAGACAGAGCTTCAAAATCCTAGCCTCCAAGGAGAAACTTGATTTCACCCTCTTCAAGAGAGACCTGATTGTTTCTTGGCGGTTCATGATATGTTCAAGACTCTTTTCCAGCACCACACTCAAAGGCATTGATTCATCTTTTGTCTTCCTTCGACATTGTTCAGCTTTCTGATGCATTGCAAGTAATTTCGAAGACCACGGCCTGGACAGGTGTATCTTGGTCTCTAGACTGACATTATTGCTTTTCAGTACTCTGGAGAGGTCCCTGACAGCAGACTTCCCCAATGCAGTTTGTCTTTTGATTTCCTGACTGCTACTGCTAAGAGTGTTGACTGTGGAGCTGAGAAAGCTGTAATTGTTAACAGCCTCGATTGCTTCTTCGTCTGTCATGATGCTGCCTCTTGACCCAGTGGTGAGAATCTTTGTCCTCTTGATGTTGAGTTTCAATCCATATTGAAGACTACAGTCCTTGGCCTTTTGCAGCACGTGCTTCAGTTCTCCAGTTTCAGCAAGCAAGGTTATGCCATCTATGTAACATAGGTTGTTGATGAATCTTCTCCAATCCTGATACCACATTCCTCTTTGTAAAGCCCAGCTTCCCGAATGATCTGTTCTGCGTATAGATTGAAAAGGTATGGCAATATGATGCATCCATTACTCCTATCCTGATTTTGAACCATGCAGTGTTTTCTTGCTCTGTTCTGAAGACTACTTCCTGGTCCAAGTATAAGTTTCACATAAGCACAATCAACACTTCTGTAATTCCCATTCTCCTCAAGGTTAACCACAACTTGTTGTGATCAGTTGAATGTCTTTCTGCCAAGATCCATTTGACATTGACAATAATGTCTCTTAGCGCCATGACCTCTTCTAAACACAGCTTGTATTTCTGGTAGTTCTCTGTCAATGTAATGTTCCAGTCATTTCTGGATAATGTTCAGTAGAATTTTGCTTGCATATTATATTAGTAATGTTTGATACTTGCCACCTTCTCTCAGGTCACCTTTTGTTAGAATGGAAATAAATATGGATCTTGGCACAACCTAGTGAGCACATCCAGGGCAGCATCTGTTTGTTTAAGAATACCATTCCTTTGCATGCCTATGTTTATTGCAGCTTTTTATTATTTATAATATCAAAAGAGATGGAAGCAACCCAAATGCCCATCAACAAATGAATCTATAGAAAACTGGTACACTCACACAATGGAATAATACACAGCACTGAGAAACAATTTGTGAAACATTACACAACTTGGGAGAGCCTGGAGCACATTATGCCAGTAAAACGTCTGTCACAAAGATAGATATTGCATAACACCATTATAAAAAAAAGACAAACTGGGGTGGGGGTTGGGGAGAGAATGGGAAAAGAATGGATAGATAATGCTGCATCAGAACATGAGGGGAAGAAATATCTGAAAGGAATATGTAATTAGGCATTATATGTATGATGACAGTCTGGAACATTGCAAGGAAGGCTAGAAGAGGGAAAGGAGGAAGAAAATGCATCAATGGGAAACAAAGTTAAAAAATATTAAACGATTTTCAACGTTTAATAAGAAAATTCCATGTTGTGTATAGTGCATCTTACTTAGTCATCCTTCCTCTTTAACATTTTGGAGAGGTCCTTGACAAAAGATTTTCCCAATGTAACATTTTTTTAAAATTTCTATGCTCCTTGGTAAGTTTGCGTATTGATTGTGGAAGTAAGGTGAAATCTTGGACAATTTTTATCCTTTCTCTATATCATGATGTTATATACTGGCCCAGTGGTGAGGATTTCTGTTTTCTTGACATTAAAGTGTAATCCTTAGTCAAAGCTGTAGTGTTTGATCTTCTGCATAAAGTGCATCAAGTTCCCTTCACTTTTAGCAAACAAGGTTGTGTCACCTGCATAAAGGAAGTTGCTGGTGAATTTTCCTCCAATCCAGATGCCGCATTCTTCCTCATAAAGTCCAGCTTCCTCAATGCTTTGTTCAACATTCAGATTGATTAGGTATAGAGAAAGGATCAGCCTTGACATAAAACATTCTTGATTTTAAACCTTACAGTATTCTCCCCTTCTGTGGGCACAACAGCTTCTTGATCTCGGCATGCGTGTAATTAAGTATTGTGGGATTCCAACTCTTCTCATTGTTAGCCATAGTTTATTATGCTCCATTCCATCAAACGCCTTTGCATAATCAATAAAACACAAATATTCTTTTGGTATTCCTGCTTTCAGCCAAAATCCCTCTGGCATCAGCAGTGATATCTCTTGTGCCACAGCCTCTTCTAATACTGCCTGAGTTTTTTCCGTTCTGTGATGATGCACTGTTCTAGCTGGTTTTAAATAAATTTTAGCAATATTTTATTTCTATGTGATATTAATGATATTATTGGATAATTCTACATTCTATTAGATCACCTCTTAAGGGAATGGGAACAAATAAAGATCTCTTTGAATCAGTTGGCCAGGTAAACTGTCTTGTATTTTTCTTAGCATAGCTGCATCTGTTTCTTCAAACTCGTCGACTAAACTGTCATATGTTTTGCCATTGCCTTCAGTGTAGCTTCTTCCTTCATTAAACTTGGTTCTTGTCACTATGCTGGGGAAACCACATTTCCCCCCTTCGGTTGATAAGGTAAGCATCAATTCTCTTCCTTTTTCCATTATTCCTGTTTTTCTTTGCATTCTCCACCCTTGATATAAAAACACAAATATGAGAATTATAAGACAAAACATGATTATAGAAGAGCTTCCAAAAATTTTAACATGATCAAAGGGATTAAGATTAGAGAGTCCTTCAGCAGTTTCTTCCAGAAAATCAGTATTACTAAATTTCCTCAATTGTTCATTAAAAGTATCTTGAATTTGAACTTATAACTTTAATATCTCATCAGTTAAATTACCATGATTCATGATATGTTTGCGAACTTTATCCTAATGCCATTCAGTATTATTCCATACAACAGGGGTCACACAAAATTGAATAGTATTCTAGTCACATTTTAGCTTTAGTTGTTTTTGTAAGTTAGTGATATGATCACCTATCATAACTACTGACTGTTCAAAATCAGTTAATCAAGAATTGATTTCAGAATCCATTTGTCTTTAAGATGACCATAATTTTTTAGAATCACTATGCCATTGTTTGACGTAATCTACTGTTTGAACACTTTGATGCAGAGCAACTCCAGCAGAAGCTGCTGTAGACACTATGGCTATGATCCCTAAAACAGCAGCAATTAATGTTCCAATAAA